CGTACGTGTGTTGAACGCGGAGGTGCCGTCCGTTCGGCGCTAGGATCATCGGTGATTTGAATCACGACGAGTACGACTCCATCAACCCCGTTCTCTTGAACGCTTCCGCGCGCGATCTACAAGGGTATGTAGATCCACTCCTCCCTCGTTGCTAGATGACTCCATAGATTGATCTTGGTGACACGTAGGAAAATTTTGAATCATTGCTACGTTCCCCAACATATATATGGTATCCTAGTGCCCCCAACCCGCATACGCCTCCGTTTATGTTTTTAATTTTTTTTCAAGTTAATGCATGTTTATTATTCACTGCCATGCATTTTGTAGATTACATGACGCAAAAGCTAGGCATTGAAAGGTCCAAGGTTTCCACCGTATGCCCTCTTATGTATAAAAATCATTGCACTATGCTGGATGACCTCCGCCAGGTGAGCATATACGCAACCTCCGTCACTCGTTCAAATTGAATTACTCCTTTTTTTACTCACGTCTCACAACTCAATTTTGTTCTCAGTTCATCGGATACGATATTAATTACAACAACTTTTATAGCACGTACATGAGCGCACTAATTAAACACCCTTCCTCAATCCTCATACCAATTTGACTCTCTAGTGCTCTGCTCTAACAGCCGCTTTGTCCTGCTTCTCAAATAAATAAATCATGTTCGTGTCTAACAGCTTTGTCCATTGAAGTGGACTGCCCTCCAACAACATAAGCACGATGATCTTCTCAGGCACATGCTCAAGAACATGCGCATACGTTGTCATGCGACAAGTTCTTAAGAGGCTGGGTTTGGAGGTTTGCTTCGATGGGATCATCTGCTTCGAGACTTTGAACACCCGCTGGAGCCCGATCAGGTGGCAGGGTCGACAAGCTGCCTAGGTCCCCCGTCAAGTGCAAGACAAAAATCAAGACCATGAAGGAAGCCCTAAAAATGTTCATCGTCGACCCCTCCAAGGTGGTATGTCTGTCGTCTTGCAACATTTCGGTCGATTTGTATTCTACTTGGTCGTTTGCCGACCAGAGGTGGATCAGTATTGTTTGATAAATTTTGGAATACTAACAAGAGGTGTGGTCAGTATTCCGAAATCTATCCAACACTCTTGTTAGTATTCGGAAATTTATATCCAACAATACAGAGCCACCTCTGGTTAGCACATGGTCAAGTAGAATACAAATCGACCAAAATGTTGGAAGATGACAGACATACCAGTTGACGTTGAACATTTCTAGGGTTGTCTTCATGGCCTTGATTGCACTGGGTGGGGTCCTAGCTAGCTTGTCGACCTCGCCGACTGATCGGGCCAAATGTGCTGATGCCAAATATCTCAGGGTTGGCAGCCCCTTCCCATGGTTGTTGTTTTGTTTTCTGGATGCATGTTGTTGAGAACTAGTTGGCATATATGAGATTACGGATGCACATTTTCTTAGGCATGTTACTAAGAAGATCGTCGCTCTTGATGCTGTTGTAGGGCAGTCCACTTCCATGGACAAACCTGTCAGACACGAACATGGTTTATTTATTTGAGAAGCAGGACAAAGCGGATGTTAGAGCAAAGCACTAGAGAGAGTCAAATAGGCACAAGAATGGAAGAAGGATGTTTAGTGCTCTTGTATGTGTATACCTATGAAATTCGTCCTATTCAATGTCATATCCGATGGCCTGAGAAGAAAACTGAGTTGTGAGATGTGAGAAAAAAGGGGTAATTCAATTGGAACGAGTGATCGATGTTGCGTATAAGCTCATCCGATAGTGCCATAATTTTTATACAGTTGAGGGCATACGATGGAAACATTGGACCTTTTGATGCTTTTGCATCATGTAATCTACAAAACGCATGGCAGCGAATAATAGACATGCATTAACTTAAAAAAATCAAAAACATAAACGAAAGCATGCGCGTGGATAGCAAGACACCATATATACCTCTATGTTCGTTCAAACAATAGGAAATATCCCGAATGAGAGTGGGTAGAGCGTGTCGCCGAGGTCTACAGTGTTTTCGCGTGTGTGAGAACCTTGGCGCTTATAATGAAGACAAACAGAAACAAGGAGGACTAGAGCTTACCAAAGATCAGGCAGTCGAACTTCTGCTATAGAAGAGGCACACTTGTGTGTGGGTATGTAGAGGTAAGGGAGAGAAGCATCAAGGAGGAGGGTTGATAGAGAGGGAGATAACTATGGGATGAGAAGAACATGCAGGTGGTGGTTAAATAGGCGAGCAGCTAGCTAGTGCACTGCGTGCTGGAGGAGCACAAGGTACGTTTCTATAGCTATATCGAGGAGGGTTGTTTTTCTTTGCGAGGGAAGAGGAGAATGGTTGTTGGAGAGGGAGGAAAATATTGGATGAGAAGAAGATGAATTCCAGGGAGGAGGTGTTTAAATAGGAAGCTAGTTAGTGCATTGTGTGGTGAACATGCTGTCGCTAAACGGTAGCTATAGAAACATGCTAACGTTGGTGTCTTGTTCCTCGGTCCATCATGATATGCTTCACTTGGGGATAGGTAGATAGATACAGAGGAATTTAACCAGCAGTACTGATCCAGTGATAGCATCAGGAGTATAACATCTCACGTAAAACACCGACACCGCATGCAACACAGATTCCTTTCCAAGTTATATGCTATGGAAAGAGACAATTGCATTTCCGTCTATTTGTTATATATATATTCCCATTGAACCATTATTATGTCCATTCGTTTGAGGAGGAAAAGATAGACATGAGAGCCGGCACACTTTAACGCTTCAGTGGCTAGTTGTAACAACTCAGATTTGGTAGAATCCAAATCTTCGTGCTTATTGTGCTATCCCTGGATCGAAGCTGGCACACACAGTTACAAGAATGAATATTAGTAAGATATACATCATCATACTACAATGATAGATCTAGAGTAAAGCAAATACATACCATTGGCACAACTCAATGCTGGCGCGTAATATAGCAAAATAACATGCATGTCGCTAAGTTAGGGCTCCATCAACGCCACTTGGCTCATTGAGTGTAGGCCATAACCCTATCATCTCTTAATCTGTCGAGATCTGCACACGACAGGTGCAGATGAGTATGTGGAATGTACATGCAAGTTGCACAAAGGAACATAATTTGTATGCATGGTAAGTGGAGGTTTCTTTGCATAAAGCCAATTTTCTCCAACACTAAATATTAATAAAACTTTCTTTGAAATCAAAATAGACATTTGGAAATACGCACCAAAGTTCATTTTCCAATGTAGGTAAAAACATACATAGGGTTGAAGTGAAACACATTACCAATGCTCAATCCTCAACCTAAACCCTTAAAACATATTTTTAGAAAAGAGAGGAGAGATTCTTCTTGAGTCCAAGTCTTCAGCTGCTCAAATTGCCATGGCTAATCGATTAATTTAGACTCTGCAGAGCTAGTACACTTTACCGACATGACACAATAAACCCTATTTGTCCTTGCACCCTATGGCACACGAGAGGGAGGAAATTGTGACAAAGTCTTTCAGACCAGCCCCCTTGACTTATTTCTAGCACGCCTGCTCCCTTGCAATTAAGGTCCATCATCAGTGGCAATGCCAAATCCAAGGTTTCCCGTTAGGAAAAAATGAAGACAGAGCCACAATAGTATGTGGTTGTACTCGTAAGCTACCTCGAACTGTACTTGGAAAAACTATTTTTATTGGATGGCGGTCCCTACCTTAATCCCGATCAGGCGCAATCACTTGTAGAAGCCCATCCTTCCGTTCCGCCCAGGAAATAGAAGTAAAATAATATATAATTTGCTCCAAAAGAGAGCAAGTTTAATGTTGAAGACTTGTTTGATTTTCAACCCACCCATTTGTGCAAGTGTGGCCAAGCATAGATATAAAGTTTGAACCTAAGGCTCTAGCTAGCAATAACAATATGCAAAACTTTTATAAAACATGCATAGTATTAAAATTTAAAGAGATATGCATAACATGAAAATATAGGTCAAAACATGATCAATTTGCAACTTGCCTAAATTCTGAAGATGAAATATTCTACTCTTAGTCGTCTCTCCTCATTACGATTTATCTAACGATAAAATAAAATACTTTAACAAATGAAATGTTCTACTCTTAGTTGTTTCTCCTTCTCGTTATGATTTATCTAACGATAAAATAAAGTACTTTAACACATCAACAACATCCAAATGAAGATCCAAATTAACAATACAAATTAACAATACAAATTATTTAGATATTACTATTACTAAGCTAGTTACTATGTCATGGTAGGGTTAAGATAGGATCAAGTTGGCTTGAATAAAAATATGACATAAATCATATTCCGGGGTTGGTTCAAATTGATACAAGTTAGGATTAAAGGTATATTGAAGCTTGACTATAAAATAAATTGGATCGAGAGTGTCAAACCCTACTTGGTTTGATCATACGGATATTTGAGGAAATATTACACGCATGGATCGGATACTAAATGATCCGATAGGATTCGTGATGATCTTCTTGGGAAGATAGAATTATTTTCATAGTTAAATTTACAAGCAAAAGAAATATAACTAAATGGGAACTAAATCCAAGGTTTGAAGTCAAAATAGGGTCTTAACATGTTTGGAAAGATGTGACAAGTGTTCTAACAGAAAGGTATGCTCCTATGGAAATCTTGGTGAAGGAACATTTTCAAATAAATTATAGAATAAGTGGTATACCTAATATACTCAAATTAACATATTAAATTCGAGTTAATTTTATAATTTCTAAAAATAGAATATCTTAGTTCAATAATAAACTAAGCGTTCCAACGAATCCGGAGATATAAAATTCATCAAATTTGGACATACGGTTTAGGAGATATGAATTCCCGAAGTTTTTTTTTTCTGGAAATGAATTTTGGGATTTAATAGTGAGCTGCCACATGTCATGCTGTTATAGGCGAATACTCCTTCATTTTTTTCAACAAAAAATATGTGACGCACAGTAGGGGGAGAGAGGAGAGAGAGTTTACCGGAGTTCCGCCGGAGTTGGAGAAGATGGCATCCGGCGTCAACGAATGGTTGAACGGCGTAGAGGAGGTCGAAGGGAGTTCTGTAGACAAGTTCCCGGACTCGTCCTCGTTCTGTGGCGGTGGTGGAAGGCCGCCGGACTTGGCGGAGCTCCGGATGGACGCGACGCTCGCGGACATCGCGCTCCAGCTGCGAATTTGAATAAACCACCATCCATAAGGTGTAAAACAGAATTTCACGGACATGGGAAGAAGGAGGAGGTTGGGATCTCGCACGAACAACGGCAGCAGCGAGTTAGTTACTCCGCGAGCAGTTCCGCGAGAGAGAGTGAGGGAGGAGTGCCCATATGATCATATGATGGGGCTTCGGACGAGGGGAAACTGGGCGTCACGGGGGCGGGTTTTATAGGGAGAGGGGGTATCCAGGTGCGTGCGGGAGCAGCGGCTTTAGGGCACCCTAATGGCGGCCATTACTGGAGCTCTAATGGTCATTAGGGGCGCATTAAGTTGCGGTAACGGAGGGAGAGGGAGAGGGAAGGGAGTGGAGTCCGTTCAGAGAGATTTTGGGCGAGGGAGAGATGAGGAGGTTGTCGGTACTCGGTACAGCGGCGGCTCGCTGCCCGTTCTCTTCGTGAGACTTCACTAGGAAGAAGATGGTGGGGTCCAGCGATTGAAAAAAAGGAAATAAAAGGAAAGATCTGCTACGTGAGAGCAAATAGAGAGAGAGGGAGAGAGTCAATGAGCCAAACCCAATAGGGAAGTTAGATTTTTTTTATTAGAATATAAGTGCACAAAAAGTTACATTTAAATAGAGAAAACAAATATTTACATGAACCGAAATATTATTTAGATCTTACCTAAAAATATTGTGCCTTATAATAAAACTATTTTTTGTGAAACATTTTTAATAATGTGACAACAACTTAATATAATTCAACAAATTTTATTTTGAGGGTTTACAAAACACCTAAATAGATATATAAGAATTTCTAAAAATTTGCAAAGATTATTTTGGAGAAGTCACATTGTCTCCTCTCATTAAATTTTATTTGAATGATTTGGAAATATTTAAATGGCATGAAAAACTACAAATAAGATCCAATTTCAAATGAAACTAAAAAAATCGAAGAACTTCAAATGAAATATGCATCCACCACATTTGAGAAAGTCATTTTATTCTCAATCCATAATTTGAATATGGTTTCAAAATATTTCGTAGGAGTCCAAAAGAAAAGAAATCAAATTTGAAAATTTTCAAACAAGACTCAAAAACAGTTTTAATTTCCCATGAAAATCATAGCAATTCACTTAATGATATATTATTATTAACATTCCAAAATTTGGAATTTTTGGGATGTTACACTAGTTCCGCGCGCCTGCTAAGTTGGACGTAGTTTGCGAGTCCGAGTCTCTCCGCTACATCTTCTTTCTGCGTGTAGAGTGGGAGATAACCAATGTGATGGTGGAATCTGATGCATTGCAGCTTGTCCATGCAATCAAATTGACGGAGTTTGCATCTTTTTTCTTGCGTGTAGACTGGGGGATAACCAATGTGGTTGTGGAATCTGATGCATTGCAGCTTCTCCATGCAATCAAATTGATGGAGTTCCATCTAGCCATGAATGGGGTCCTTTTCAGAGATATTCAAGCTTTTACTTTACTGAATTTTAGTTTTTTTTTTATTTCTCATTGTCCACCAGTGTGTAATAAGGTTCCAGACGCTCTTGCGTTGTTTGGGACAAAGATGGAGCATTAGCCCCAAGCCGTAAGGTCGGGTGATGTTCCTATCTTTGCTCAGTTCTTGGTTGCCGGCGATCGTGTTGGGCAAGCTGTTTAATGTAATCGAAGTTCCTGTTTCAAAAAAATCAGCTAACATTGAAAAAGTAAAAGTAACGGCGCACACCTATGGAATCGATCCCGTGACCAGCTTCGCCACCAAGATGGGGGATGCCTTGAGGCAATAAATGCATACACACCTTATTTGATAGACTTTTGGGCGTTTATATTCAAGACCATTTGAAATTTTCGAATGGTATCAGTATTTTCCGGGACCACCGGATTTCCGGTTCTCGGACGGTTTCCGGATTTCTCATACGAGAATAAAAAAATCCTGCTCAACAGAATAAGCCGAGTTCCCGTGAGATGATCACGATATATGTATAAGCCGAGTACCTCGCCTCGGCTTCCATTTGGGCCAGGAGTTGCAACATCAAGTGTTCATGCAACAAACCAAGTGACTGGTCGATGCTCACGGCATAGGCTTATAAGCCCAGTGCTCCTTACCATAGTCATGGCCAAGTGTCCGCCACCAAGCTGGGTGATGCCTTGTTGGTTATTTTGCCACATTGGCAGCTCGTGTGTGCTTCGCTTGTGAGGCACTCGCAAACATGTTATGATGGTGTCTGCTGCAATGTTTCACTTTTATGTTGCAGGTTTTTTTCACCGCCGTTAGTGTTGGCTATGCTGCAATGTTAGGTTGACCTCTTGCAAGTCAACCGGCAATGTTATATTTGTTGTTGCGAAGTCGGACCATCATGTTTGTAGAACCCGTGGCATGATGTTGTAAAGGTGGCCAATATGGTTCTACAATGAATCATTTTCCAACACTCCTCCTCATACTAGTACCAGCTTAGTGTTGCAAAGTGGTTTCACCGTTGTGTAATTCAACGGCTTCCCGTTAACCGTCCAATCCACAAAAAGAATAGGCCACATGCGCTGCAGTTGGATCTATAATGATTGCACAGTGCGACTCTCTCTAAGCATCACCGTGCACACCGGTGCAGTAGATTAATCAGGGAAGGAAGCATAAATTTTGCCATCATCTTCTACGCTCACTCACACCAGAAGTACTCAATGTCTTGGGGTTGTACTGGTCGATTATTGGCACAAGCCCGATGTGCTTGGCTCAGGTATGGATGGCTATCAAGCACGCTTTCATGTGCGTGTGTTGTGCATCATCCCAAAGCAACAGCAGCGACAGCGCGTTGCACATGGAGGGGAGGGGATTTTCCTGACGCGACGTCGCACCAGGACTAGTGTGAGAATGAGCTAAGTGTGTTCCTTTGCTTTGTTTTGTCCATGACCCACATCTTTCGCATTTCGATCATCACCTTTAGCTAGCTGCATCACCGTAACCTCATCATATAACTATGCAATGTGACACACATCCTCTGCATGCTACTGCTCATGATTAATGTGCTAACCAAGCATAGGAGGGCACGAAAGGAAGTATGACCTCAACTCTCAAGTTCAACAGCTTTGTTGTCCTGGGCCACTCGGTAAAGATGTGATGGAGATTGTGGACAAGAACTTCCCAGCCGGTAAGATGTTTCAGCTAATTAGCTAATTGCTCTGCAATATTTGTTGCTATTTTACTATTGAGTGATATTTTTTTTACGGTGTTGCTCAGAAGGGTCACAAACTTTTCAGCACCTTTTTACTGTTCTTTTGTATAATTGTTCTGCTAAAATAAGTTAATCAAGTGATTAAGTCAATTTTGTTGTTGTTATTGTCACTACAGGGCTGTTTGGTTTATGCCCCCAACTCGCCCTACCAAAATATTGGTCACATCAAATTATTTGTATGTTGTTTGCTTTGCTGCCAAATATTTGGCTGCCAACGAGTCCCTTGTTCTTTCCTTCACAGATTCTTGCCAAAATTTTGGCCAACCCTGGGCGGTGGAATCCCACGCCAAATAATTGGCAAGCCAATATTGACAGGGCATCTATAGGCAAGAACCAAACATACCCTACTAAACTACTAGAGATATTATTGGTAGAAGATGTAAAATTTAGAACTTGTGGGGAATATACAACAATATGAAAACTTGATTGCGGGAACTTCGATGTGAGATCTTTCAATATTTCATCCAAATACAACTTGAACTAAGGTACCACATAGTAAGAAAATAAATAAAGTAGTATAATATTTAGTCATTTCAATATTTGTTTTCTCTCGTTGCAACGCACGGGCAATTTGCTAGTTTTACATAAAATAAGTTTAAGTATTTGAAGGCGTGATGGCAGTGGCACAATCAACGCTTGCTACCCTAACTTGCTGGGCTTGCGTTGCTTGGAGGGCATGATCGAGCCTTTCCACAAAGATGCCGTCCATGGACCATGGTTGATGGAGTTTTTGTGGTGTGAGAAGCTGAGATTCGCTCTTGGGACAGGAGCTATCTACCAACCACTAGCTAGTCCCCACACAAAAAAAGTCGGAGCAAAATAGATGTGGATGAACAACGAACTGATTCCTTTCCAACACACTCCTTAATTACAATACTTTCTTTATCTTGTGCCTGTGAATCATCATGGTTAATTCAAATCTTCCCTGCACCGACAATCATTGCACAGTTACTCAAAAAAGAAAAATGGAGAATGTCACCTGACTGGATGTGTGTGTGTGTGTGTGTGTGTGTGTGTGTGTGTGTGTGTGTGTCAAGATGGCAACGGGGCCCCGAAACCCGCGTCCCCGCGGGTTTTTACCCTATTAGGGGACGGGGATGGGCATCTTTTCATCCCCGCGGGGCTGTTGTTGGGCGCATTATACAACCCGACACGTTTCACGGCTTTGCACCCGTTTCGGTAGTCCCCGAACCCGAAACCCGGCAAACCCGGCAAAATACATTTTTTTACTGAAATATGCTCCTGTTTGTTGCTGAAATATGCTTATCTTCGTTGTTGAAATGGGCTATAGTTGTGCTGAAATAGGCTTCTTTTAGCTGATGTTATTCCTGAGTATTGTGCTGAAATTTGCAGTTGTTTTGCTGCTGAAATATACTATGTTGCTGCTGAAATGATATCATTGTTGCTACTATGTTATGTTTGCTGCCTCCGAAATATACTATGTATGTTGTTTAACTCTGCTAAAATACACTATATAGCTGTTGAACCATCTATTATTGTTTTTTGCTGAAATTTGCTCCAGTTATGCTGCTGAAATGTGCTTGTTTTGCTATTCAAATGTTATTCTTTGTCGCCACTATGTTTGTTTAAATATTTTTATTTTCTCATGGGTTCCCTGTGGGTTTCCCGAAACCCGATGGGTTTAGGGGACGGGCGAAAAACTAGCCCCGCACATGGTGATGGGGACGGGGATGGGTTTGCGATTTTCTCGTGGGGATGGGTTCGGGAAGGCAAAACCCGATGGGTTTCGTCCCCGTTGCCATCTGGATGTGTGTGTGTGTGTGTGTGTGTGTGTGTGTGTGTGTGTGTGTGTGTGTGTGTTTGTGTGTTTGTGTGGCTGAAAACAAGTTGTTAATTATGTGGTGTCAACTTGATTCACTCTGTTGGGATGATGGATGTAAAAGGTGAGTGAGCATCCGTCCATAGAAGTTGATAAGAAGACAATCAAAGTGTCAACTTGTTCATTCTGTAAAATAATGCCTCTGTTTTTTTGGTGACCAAAGGT